CAGCGGCCGAGCGGTAAAGTCGCTGAACACTGGTAGTTCGGTCCGAGGTTCGAATCCAGCGAACGGGCTGGCTGCATGGGTGTTTTCGTGGTTTTCCCCATGTGTAACGTGTATACGAGCCAGTTTTCCTTAGAAAGTCCCCCACGAAGGCATCCCTCCCCTTAGGCAGATAGCCCTAGTGTGCTTTGCCATGATTAAATACACCACACCACACCTTGTTAGAGGGATTTGGCTACATGCCAAATTCTTTTTCTCGAATATCTACGGAACGAAGCCGAGTTGAAATTCGAGACGCGTATCCTCGGATTCCAAAACATTCTCCGAATCCATCGAAACCGTTCTCATTTTCGTACGACTTTAATCGGTTGAGATGTTAAAACGTTAATTTCCACGCTCATTTTTCCGAATGGCAACAATAAACTATCGACGACACACACTTTAGACGCTTATATATGTAAAGAAAAGAAGTACGTCTTTAATTATTGGATAAAGAGCTCGCATATAAGGTCAGTTCTTTTACATTTGTTTATTTCAAAAAATACTGTATTAAAATAAAAAAAAAAAAAAAAAAAAAAAAAACAAGAATGTAAACGATGTGACGACTGGAAAAACCACTTTTATGCACCACTTCCAACACTGCCATTTTCTCTTCTACATCACTACACTAAGTTTATATTATATATATATATATATATATATACTCATCTTCCCTGATCCAAATCATTTCTTGTAATAGACAGCGACGTTTTGCATAGATTTTTCCCCTATTTAATCCAATTTCCTTATAATAATATTATCCGTTTTATTTCAGTTGGAAGAATAAATATGAAAAACTGAATGGACTATTTAAGCAATAAAAAGATCATCTGATAAAAATTTTATTATATATTTTATCACATTACATATTATAAAATTTTGTCTTAGTAATCATGATGTCGTTGTCAACTTTCAAACTTTATAAAGAGTCATGCATAAAATCTATTTGTGGTTTGGAATTTTAAAATTACTACAATACCTTTGAATTTTATTTTTGCGCATTAAAAATTAATTTATTTTATTTTTATTTATTGAAAATTAGCAATCTCTTTCAACTTGTTTCAGTTACGTATTCTGCATGTGTATTGCATGGAATGAAACATTTAATATTTATAGCACCGAAATTTACTTATTCCAATGTAAATTTGAACATTTAGATTTTCTTGACCTAATAATGCATATTATTACTATAACGACAAAATAAGACTCAACTGATTATACTTATGTAGTAATATTACCAAATATTGATCAAATAATAATCATGTATTCTTTCGATCAAAATACGTCCGATATTCCGACACGCCAATCCTGGTATTCTTCTATCAGATTGATATAAGAGACATATAGCACGAAACAACTTCATTCACTGAGAAAAGAAGTCAACCTAATCTTATAACTTGAATATTTGGAAAAAAAAAAAATCTTTTCACTTTATTGTGGCACTTCAATTTTTCATCAGAGACATAAGCTTTGGAGGAAAACTGCAAAAATCCTTTGGGGGCTTATGTCTGTGATATCTGTGAAGATAACGACGATGACCATTGTTTTTTAGCGAGTGTTAGCAACTGGCGGAGTGTAGCTGCGGGGACAGTTCCCGCATGAGCCTTCCTCTTGCATCACATCCTTCCTCTGTCATTTGTCAAAACGAATTAAGCGCTAAGTGATAGTCCGCTGTCCTTGAACTGCTATCAGCCACCCGGCCAGCCAGTAGAGGCCGATTGTATCCTAAAAGAGGATTTTTCCAGAACGATGCGTGTGGGGCATGGATGCGTGTGTTCGGATGAGTTGTTCGGTCATCTTCTTGGAGGGACCACATCTTTCGTCTCCTTTATCAATAGACAAATAATGATAGACCTCTATTTCTTCCCGTTTTTTTTTACCGTGAAGGATGCAAGTAGTAGATATGCGGGTCTTAGCTACGACTGTATATTTAAAGACAATAGTTTCAATGAAAGAATAGCTTCCGAACTCTATATTATTCATAAAGTTTTGAAACTGAGAAGGATAAAAAAGTGCAAAGCGTGGGAGTATAAATCAAAATAACATAATAATTTTTTTCTATAGAAATTTTTTCTTCATTTTTCAGAACTGTTTTTCAAATATTTTTCAGAATATTGTTTCGCGTCAGTAGCTATTTACACATAGCTTATAAAATGTCTTAAGCTTTAAATGATATATACTTGCATTATTTTTAAACAGGTTAATTAATGTGCCCCAGCGAATGTTTTAAATGAAATGCATTTGCAAATCATCTAGTGAATATAATTTTTTAACTAATATTTTTAAACCCATTCGGATATTGTGTAATGTAAGTTAGTGATAATGGTATTAGTGAGTGGTATTAGTGATAATGGTATTAGTAATGAGTGAATTTGATAATAAAGATATTGTCGAAGGTGAAGATGAGGACATTAATAATGACAGCTAAGATCAATAAATGTTTGATATAATAAATAGCAATAACTACATAACCAACTGATATAATTAACTTTGTATATAATAAAGAACTAACTACAGTTACTATATGAATGAAATTCATATTTAAAATCATTCTTTTGAACAAAACATTAAATATATGTTTTTTTGTTACCTGATAGATAATTTTTTTAATTTCTTGATATTGAAACCTCACAAGTTAAAAATAATTCAGTAAAATCTTAGAATAATTACTGGTAATTACTTAATGACAATCCAGAAATTATATTTATGAATGAATTACAGATGAATTTGTGTATTACAAAGGGATTTGAGTTTCGCGTTTCCAAAAGGGATGTATTTCCAAAGTAGCTGGTGCCAGAAAAATTAGTAAGTGGAATTATTTTTATTTCAGTATAACTATATTTTCTTCTAACTAACGGATCATTTTAAAATAGTAAATCTTAACCATGGGTATATTCAGCTTAACTGTAACTGTGTTTAACTTTATTCAGGTGACAAAATTCAAAATTCGTCTAAAATGGAATAGAAGATTCAAATTATGAATATAACTTGATAGTGTTTTAACTAGTTTAATACTAGTAGTTAATAATGACATGTCTTCGGTTTTCGAATTAGGTTATCAAACAGAATCAAAAGTTAATAATTTAAAAATTTGGATACTTGAAGTTATTGGTGAAGAAAACGTAAACTTTAATCAAAATTTTCTCTTTCTTTTTAAATTTCAGTTGATTACATACTTAATAAGAACTATTTCATGGTATTGGACTGCATTTCGGAAAAAAATTTATTATGGAGCTGAAAATCCTTGAACCTTTTAGTAATTGTTTAGATACTTGATTAGTTTGATATAGCATTTGTAGACTCATTTGATTTTTTGGAGCGAGAAACGTGAGAATAAACAACTGTGCCTCGCCGGGATTCGAACTACGGATTTTGCGACAGCTACTGAGCGGGTTGTTCCACATCTCGTGGATCACGAGAGCATGCAGGGTAAATGCAGTAACTGCTTATTCATTTACACTTAAAGAGCAAGCGGACAAAAAGACGAGACCCACTCGACCAAACTCAGGTGTAATTATCATACACCGTATTTAAGTTAGCGCGCCACTACAGTAACTATTGGATCATTTAGAAGGAGATATGGTCAGTTGTACTCTCACCCGGATATGAGCTATAGATCTTTCAGCTGCTGTTTGAATATGCTAACTAAACACTTGCCCCACCAGCGCACGCATTGAGAATGGGATAATTCTTATATATTTATGCCTTTCTATATTTATATCTTTATTTATAACCGCTGAAGAAACACTGTTGCAGCTTTCTGTTTAGAGACTTTACAAGATGAAATTCACTGATTTTTTTTCTGTTTTTCTTCTTCTTTTTTGCTTTTGTTTTTATTGAAAAAAAAGATAATTCTACCACAGAAAAACAAAAGGTTTCTAAATTGTTTTCTTCCTCCTTTCTGCATGCCTTCGTTGTGTAACGGTAGCATAATCGGCGCGTATTCCAAGGGTCCAAGTTCGAGTCCCGGGGATGGCACTGCTTATTTTTCATGCACTTCTGCATCAAAATAACCAAATGATTCTACAGTGGCACCCGAACTAAGATAGATGGTGGATGATGGTTCCTCACCTCCAGGATTTGGCGGTTGGGTCCCCTAATCCCCAATCGCCCTTTAAAAGGGAAAGTATATAAGGTGTTTTCTCTCACATTTCTGCATGCCTTCGTGGTGTACTCAGCGCGTATTCGAGAGATCCGAGCGGGCGAGGGCATCCCACATTTTTCGTCTCCAGCATCAAAATATCCTAATGACGCTACAGGTTTAAACCAATTATTTTATGCTAGTTTAAGGGTTAATGTTATCGTTTAGTTTCTCTTGTGTATACATGCCACTTAATGCAAAGTTTCTTCGTTTCTAATGATGTTTATTCTTTCATTATTTACAATGTGTTTTTATTGTTTTGAATGATTTAATTTTCATAAGAAAATGTATTTAATTCTCCAGATTAATTTGCTTAAACTTCTGGTAAATTGTTAACTGTATATTTTCTGTTAAATATAATATCACTTTCCTATGCTTTAATACTGGCCCTCGGATTAACCATGATTTTGAGTTAACCGGGTAAATCATCTTTGTTATTACTCTACTAACCAAAAAATGATGTAATTAAAAATTTTGTAAATTTTGTAAAAGCAAAGATAATTAATAACTTTAAGTTTTCTTTATATTCATAATTGTTTCAGTTAAAAAAATCTAAAGCAAACAGAATGCTAACGTCCATCATGAAAGCTTTGTTTTTGTTGTTATACATGAACAAAAATACGCAAAAACCTTTTTCTCTGAACAAAATTTTATATTCGTGATAATGGACCATTCATATGATGATTGTTGAAAATGTCTTCATTGCAAACAATTTCTGACAGACCTTACTATTCACAGCAGCAAGAACATGAAATTGCTTTTTGAAGAACATGAAATTGCTTTTAAAGAAATTCACTGAACTTTCAAAGTGGGAAACAAAAAATCCTCTGTGTTCATGCAAAGATTCATACCATGGATAATCCACTTGCTGACTGAATGTACTAATTATATATACCCTAAGAGCGTGCAAAAGGGAATGCAATAATTCCTTGCATTCTCTTCTTCTACTTAAAAGCTAATGGGAGAAGGCACGAGACGCAGTCTACCCAAGGAGGTTAGAATAGAAGGAGGGAAGGTTCAACTCAAACGGTGAAGCTTGGCGGCCATCTTCCTGTTATCACCGTGACTTGTGCAAGGAAGTCTGTCATTGCAACATTTTTTTTCTTTTCTTTTTGAAGCATGTCAGCTTGTACTGCATATGGATGCACATTTAGATTGTCGAAAAAAATTCCGGGCATTATTTTTCACACGTAAGTATTAATTTTCTTTTTTTATGTAATATGACAACTATGTCAAAAAATATCACAATGTCATGTGGTTTTCTTTCCAGATGTGAAAAAAAGGACTTTAAATAAATAATATAAATAATTTAATATAACTATAATCAAAATATATTAAATACATTTTAATGTGTTTCTGTTATAGCTGGTATCTTCGTTCCTTAAGATACAATGCTATATGGTAGAATTTAAATTTTATAATTTGAACGTTTTAGTTAATTCGTTTTATAACTTTCATGAAAAGTAAGAAATCAATTTGTTACTCTTTTTTATTAATTATAAAGGTGTTAAATAAAGCAATGCTTTTCTTTATATATTAATTAATTATTCATTTTTTTAAGTTAAGATAAACTGTTCTGTTGTTAAAATTTTTTTGCATAAACTTACAAATTTCTGGCAGTTATAGTGATAAAATTAAGTAAAATATTTACACAATTGTTCATGTGGAAAAGATGTATCCAAAAACCTTATATAGGTGTATTTCTGTAATTCAACTTAATTAAAGGCAGTTTCTTTCAGATTAATAAATATGAAATGCGCATAAACTGAAATCAATGAATTCACATAAATCTGTTTTATTTTATTAAGATTTATTTTCTAACCTAAGCAAATTCGTGAAATATGCAGAAACATCATTTTTCAAAGGCTTTAATGTTATGCGCATGCATTTAGATTTCGAACTATTTCTTAATAATTTGCTGTACATAGTAAATTATGGATATCATCTTTATTACTTTAAAACAAAAATTCAACAATTGCGAGGGATTTCATTATAAATTTAACATATTTTTACTGGAAAATAAATGCACGAAACAGGTTAGAAACACGTACATGTCACTGCCGTAATGCAATGTTTTGAAGTCACAAACATGGACGCCGTTGTTCGGCGAAGTTTCATTCCCCGATAGTGGAGGAAACCGCGAACCCTCCCTCCTTCTATTCTAACCTCCTTGAGTCTACCAAATCTAAGTGGTGCTGAGTTATATCGTATACTGCTACTATAGAAATCATTAGGATTTTTCTGATGCAGGAAATGTGAGAAATCAACTGTGACTTCTCCGGATTCGAAACACTAATCATCCATTTGCTAGGCGGACGTATTGACTACTTACACCTCGACAGAACGGATGGGAAAAAAATAAACAGAAATAAATATATATGCTTTAATCATCAGTAAAATAATAAAAAAAAAATATGAAATTCTTCAAGTTTGTTCAAATCCTGAACTACAATATAGCGATAAAGAAACGGATCGACACAATAAGGTTTTTATCATCAATATTGAACCGTATAACAATTTGTATTAAAAAGTGAGTTCAATAACTCTAGCGTATTCTTGCCACGAGGTATTTCGTGGGCTGACTACGTCAGACAAGTGAGCATAAGCAACAACAACACTTACAGGCAATGGAAATGCATTTTTATGCTCAGTTTATTTGCCAGTTTTCCAATCCGAGTTAAAAAAAGTTATTGAAACTATAATTCTTCTTAGTAACTGCAATTTTTATCAATAAAAAATATTTTAAATTGAATAAATACCGATTGTGTGAAACTCTGCATTCAAAGAAATACTGAAAACGTTTAATTAAAAAAGTATTTAAAGAAATTTATAGTAATAAATAGAGAATCCAAACATTGAAATTAAATAACTTAAGAACTTCAGAAACTCAGAGGAGTTTTTCTAATAGTCTACGGGTATTGTGCAGATTGCATAGAATCAGACATAAATGTAAAATACGTAATTTTGTCAAATGACTGTAAAATATGTATATCACATGCAAAAAGCTTTTCATAGAATGCAGTATTTTATTTAACAATGATAAAATGCATACCATCTTTTTCCAAAAATATGTTAATTCAAAATGTAGTTTTAGGTCAAATGAACTCTTACACGAAACAGTTAACTGTTTGAGGAAAATAATTACTAAATATTTCATCAAAGGAAATATTTAGTAACTTACTATTGTCAGTAATCGAACTTTGTTTTAATTCACAATTAGCAAGAATATTAGATCTGTAGTATTTTTATTATTTACTTTAAAATATAAAATCTGTATGTATTTTAAATATAATAAACTCATTTACTCAGTAGCCTTATCTGCATTCAATACCAACTTATGCGCATTCTTCAAAGTAAAACTTTAATAAATTACTGCCGCTTCGTACGCTTGAGAAAACACCCTTCGCAATAATTTTGAAATAGATGTGTGATTAAAGCTTTCGTTAGAAAAACTTTGAGAAATCCTTTCTGACAGCATCAAGACACACCCCAATCCTCTAATTGCAATGGTAGCTAACGTCCGCCAAGCCCAAGAACAATTACATGCGCTTATGCATATGCTTGTCTTAATTCATCAAGATTTGTTAAAGATCTTCCTATTTTTTAAAAAAAAATTTGCTTTATTGAACCATTATTTCTCATTTAATGTTTGAATTTCATTTATTAACTATATTTAAGTGCAAATACCTTACATATAGTAACCAAACATACTAGATTTTGTATGGCAGTCCTGAGGTTTAATGCAATATCCCGTGCAAGGTATTTCAAGAAATGTGTAAAAATTTCGAATTCTATAAATAATACTTATATTTTAAGGTGTTGAGTTAATTCTGCTGCTGCCGATCTATATAAGATGGACATATATTTTGAAGGAAAAAATATAATTATATTCCATAAATCGAATAATTATGCATTCTAGATGTATCTGTTTGCTGAATTCGCGGGGTCCACGAGAAAAAATGATTTGGGAAAGACTTTTGGGGTTCCTAATTCAAATTTTGTTTCATATTTGTAAACATATATGGATATCGACATTAAGTCAGCTGCAATATTTTAAATGGATCATACTGGAGAATATGGCTGAGAAATCAAAATTACTTGGAGAAAAGTTTAATAAAAGTTTTAAAATACTTTTATTAGTTTTCTAATAAAAGTATTTTGACGAAGAAAAAATACCTGATAACAAACTAATCAAGGCAAGAAAAGGGATTTAAAAATTTTGCAACATGAAAAAATTAAACGGTGGTCTATGGATTACTTTATATGTATAGATTTAAAAACTAAATTGTGATTTTTCTTACCGTTATGAACTGCAGCGAAACAGCAGGTATTTTTCAGAAAGTAATATTCAATTAACTGGAATTTTAATTGAAAAATTATTACTCTTAACCATTATATTTAATGATGCTAAACTGCATTAGTTGTTATCTAGCTGTGTCAAAGCATAAGAGGATTATTTACCTAAGCTTTATCCCACTTTTGATCGAAAGAATTCTGGAGAACAGCCCGAATATTTTCGAAATCGTTGCTTTATTTAATAAATGTCAAGTAACTGCAGTAGCTTTATACTTTTTACATTAAAAACATTGCCTTTATTTTCACAATCGTTGTCATATACCCAATATACCCTCAAATTACAGAATTATTTTAAATGAAGAAAATATTAATGTTTTGGCAATGTAAATTTAAAAAAATAGTTTCAGACAAATAACGAAATCTAACTATTAAAGCTATCTCCCGGTTTCTATACTCATATTTGGGAAACTTTTATACTTGTTACGCAAAAATAAGATTATAAGAAATTTGACTCCCGTACGATAATAATTGAATGGGACATTTAATTTCAAAATTTGCACTTTTTGATGTCATTTCAACTTTCCTTGAGGAATCGGTTTATGCCTTGAGGAATCGTTTCAAGTTAGAATAATTCAAGGAAGTAAGTTTAAATGAAGTACAGCAAGAAATGTGTATAATTTAATGGGCCGTACAAGGAAGTCATGTACTGTCCGCATTAGATTTTTTTGTGTTATTCGTAGGAACACTTTGAAGATCTGTGTGATTGATCTTTGAAATATACTTTAGTCGTTTTCAATAGAAATTTGTTTCACAGTTTTTCAAGCATTTTTAATATTATGTATGTTTTTTACATGTTTCCAAGCAGCAGTGACAGCAAAAATTTTATATTTTGTATTAAATTTAGTTTATCAAACATTACTGAATGTTCCTCCATTGCACTTATAGAAAAATATTCTTCTTTCTGCTGAAAGAAACTGCTGTGAAAATTTTTATTCATTTTATAATTGAAATGAATTAATTATTATGATCCAATAAACATGTCTAATCGAAATAATTTCTTTTAAGAATGTTCCCATTTGAGGACATTAGCAAGTAAGCGATTATAATTAAAATAACAAAAGTGATGTTGTATTGTACTTTTTGATAGAATAATTAATTAGTCATTAAATAATAAATATGTCTTTTCCTTTTAAAAACTAAGCTTCATATAACTCAAATAATGATGAGTCCATTTATTTTAAAACTAATTACGTGCTTACGAAATTAAGTCACTTAACGTTTTCGTATAATTAGAATAATCATGGTAATTGATGATAATTATGGTACTTCTAAATGATTAGACTGATTTTCGGATAATCTTCAGTTTTTTATCTGGGGTAAGGAAGCACTTACTTAGGTAAATAAATATCAAACGTTATACTAAGAAATAAATTTCCAGTTTAATAAATACAGCGTGTTTGCATATTATATCAATTATAGAGTATTGTAAGAGTCTTTAACGAAATTTAAAAATTCAGGTTTTGAATTTCAAAATGTACCTGTGATAAGATACTAACATTAATCTTTCATACTTAATTGTTCTCCAAACAGTGTTCTTTTTGAAGCTAAGCATGCTAAATAAGAAAGTTTGTTTCATGTTATACTGATTTGTAATTATATCTTTTCGTGAATAAATTTCATCATAGTTATAGATACTTTTTACATGAAGAAATATGTTAAGTAAGTTAAAATTTTGGGGCTCTCCATTCTCGATGCTTGCGGAAGTTAAATGCGAGAGGATGTAAAGGGCATGCGATTCAAAACGACGTCTAAAGTTACGTCATATTAAAGTCATTAAGCAATTGGTATTTGTCTGGCTTCCAGCTGATCATGCTTTCTGTATTCAGGTAGTATT